CCTTTAGCCATATGCTTCCTGTTAACCCTGCAGAACCCAGTCAATGAAACCTCTTTTCTTCATAAATTACCCAGTCTCATGTAATTCTTTATAGCATGTGAAGATAGACTCATACAGATGCCCAAGGCCCGTCCAGCCAGAATGCTCTGGGATAGATGTCTCCAAGAAAATGAAATGGAGACTCCTCTTCTATTGGTTGCAACAGGTTGAGGGAAGATACTAAAAATTGAGAGAGAGCTTGAGTTTTGATTCATAAACAGTTCACAAGAAATTAAGCAAATGAAAAATAGCAAGATAATGATTACCTTTAAGGAAAACAAAATAGTGTGTAGAAAAAGAATTTTTTTTTAATTTAGAGACAGGGTCTTGCTCTGTCACCAGGCTGGAGTGTAGTGGTGCTACCATAGCTCGCCGCAGCCTCAAATTCCTGGGATCAAGTGATCCTCCCACCTTAGCTTCCCAAGTAGTTGGGACTACAGGTGCATACCACAGCACCAAGTTTTTTTTTTGTATTTTTGTAGAGACAGGATCTCACACATGTTCCTCAGGTTGGTCTTGAGCTCCTGGCCTCAAGCAATCCCTAACCTGTGCCTCCCCAAGCACTAGGATTATAGGAATGAGCCACCGTGTCTGGCTGGAAACATAGTTCTATTGCATGGTTCAGTTATGAAAAGCATGATGATGTAAACACTGTATACAGATCTATTCAAAGCCAGCAAACTATCCTATTGGAAGGGTGAAGGTAAAGGAAACACGTGGAGGGGAGGAGGCCATGGAGGACAGTCACTGACTGTGAAAGAGCCTAATCCTCATCTTCCTCAGTCAGGAGTCATCCAGCAGTGAATGATTAAAAACAGAAACTCGGGCCGGGCATGGTGACTCACGCCTGTAATCCCAGCACTTTGGGAGGCCGAGGCGGGTGGATTACAGGGTCGAGATTGAGACCATCCTGGTCAACATGGTGAAACCCTGTCTCTACTAAAAATACAAAAATTAGCTGGGCATGGTGGTGTGCGCCTGTAGTCCCAGCTACTCAGGAGGCTGAGGCAGGAGAATTGCTTGAACCCAGGAGGCTGAGGTTGCAGTGAGCTGAGATCATGCCATTGCACTCCAGCCTGGGTAACAACAGCGAAACTCCATCTCAAAAAATAAATAAATAAATAAATAAATAAATAAATAAATAAATAAATACAAACAGAAACTCAAGGAGTAGCCTAGGAGATGGTAAAGTATAGCCCACGTGCAGCCACCAGTTTGTAGATAAAGTTTTATTACCACATACTCACTTATTTACATATTGTCCACAGCTGCTTTTGTGCTGCAACAGCATGGGTGAGTAATTGCAACAGAGACTCTATGGCTCTCAAAGCCCAAAATGTTGACTGTTTTGCTCTTTACAGGAAAAGTCTGCTGACCCCCTCAAGTAGCAGGTGAATATCTTTAGAGGATTAAACACAAATGCCAAAAGAAAAAAAAATCCAAAAATTGGTGGTTATTTTTCCTAGTAAGCCATATAGAAATATTTGACACTTTAAACAAGGTAATTTTATTACATTAATAAAAAAAAAAGCTAAGTAAAAAAGAAGCGTTAATAGGAATTCTCAGAGGCAGCATTTTTCTCCAGGAGGATAACAAAATATAAAAACAAAGTATCTCCCTTCTTAGATGTGTTCCCTCTTTAAATTTTTGAGCAATTTGTTTTGCTTACAATCCAATCAAGTTTCCTCTCTTCCGCTTTTTTTATTTTTATTTTTGGTTAAAAACCAAGGCAGGAAGCAAGAAGTCAAACATAAGGTTTTAAATGACTTCTCTTCCACCCTCTGAATGTATCTGGGGGATAACTACAAATCTGGAGGTTGCAGATTTGTAGATTCCCAGGCAATCCACAACTTCAAAGAGTTAGCTAAACAGATTTTATTTACTCAACCAAAAGTTTCTCATGTCCTTCAAATTTTGACTTATTTATCTTAAAAGGATGCAGTAGAGACTCACATTTTACCCAGCGACAACGTTCCTTCCTAATGTACTCTTGAAGTGGAAAGGCATCCATAATTAATCTGGAAGTGGCTGTCTTAGCCATGAAGCAGGTTTCCAATTTAGACTTGGGCTTTGTCACAGCAATCTGAAAGGTCATTTTCTATCCAAGTCTTCAAGATAAACAATAAGAACTATTTCCAGAAAATGAGCTTTTCTTAATATGTGTAATGTCTGATAATTTATTGATATTATCATCCAGAGGTGATGGTAACTATTTCTATTCTTGAGTCTGGAATGTGAAAAAGAAGGAGTTATTCTCACTATCATATTCTCAGGTTAATATGTATGACCTTACTCAGCAGAACTTTCAGCTGCAACACAGCCAAGCTTATAGGCCCCAAGGGACTCATGCTTGAGGAGAGCTTGATGCTGAGTCAGCTGGCCAGGGCCCAAGCTCCTAAAAGAGGATGCGCCCTTCCAGCTCTCATGGTGTGTTGGCTGTTCACCTACGCTTCTCTGCCTGGCTATGCCACTTCAGTATGTTCAGCAGGTGTTTACTGAGCACCTTCTATGTGCTTAGCTCTGCATGAACCCCTGTGAAAATACCAGTCTACCTTGTATTCGCTACCTGGAAGATGAATCACTTCCATTTAGCTAAAGGAAATCCTTTGTCTTCAGGACCAAGTTAAATTTCAGGAGTGGGAATAAATACATTTTTTTTCAGGATGTATGGGAATGCAGTTACCATGGTGCATTAGTCCATTTTTATACTGCTATAAAGAAATACCTGGAGGCTGGGTGCAGAGGCTCATATCTGTAATCCCAGCACTTTGTGAGGCCAAGGTGGGTGGATCACCTGAGGGCCTGACCAACTATGGCGAATGTGGTGAAACCCTAAAAAATACAAAAATTAGTTGGGCACTGTGGCAGGTGCCTGTAATCCCAGCTACTTGGGAAGCTGAGGCAGGAGAACCAGTTGAACCTGGAAGGCAGAGGTTGCAGTGAGTGGAGAACCTGCCAATACACTCCAGCCTGGGTGACAGAGTGAGACTCAATTAAAAAAAAAAAAATAGGGTACCCGAGACTGGGTAATTTATAAAGGAAAGAGGTTTAATTGATTCACACTTCCACATGGCTGCAGAGTTCTCATGAAACTTACAATCATGGGAAAGGGGAAGTAGGCACGTCTTACAAGGTGGCAGATGAAAGAAGTGAAAGCTAAGGGGGAAGAGCCTCTAATAAAACCATCTGATCTTGTGAGCGCTCACTCACTATCCTGAGAACATCACTGGGGAAACCACCGTCAGGGTCTAACAACCTCCCATGGGGATTACAGTTCGAGGTAGAGATCTGGGTCGAGACACAGAGCCAAACCATATCATTATGGCATAGGGGATACCAAGGGCACAGGAGGAAAGGATGCAGCTTTGGGAAACTGAAAAAGGGCAGGGCAAGGGAAAAGGAGGCACATAGTACTACAGTGTGAGCTTTGATATTCATGTGGTTCTATGGTTCATGCATTAGACCTTCCATTTTATTTTCTTTCTCCTAACCAAGTTCAGCCCTTCTGAGTCTTAATCTACATCTAAGCTTTTACAACATTCTCCTGGCTGGTCTCATTGCCATTAGAAGCTCAGTTCTTTAATTCATTATATACCCTATTGCTAAGTAGATTTTCTTAGATGTCCTTTGCACATTCCTCAGCCTGCTAGATGAGCCACTACTAGTAGAAAAGTGGTCCTCACAAGGACAGGTTCGGGGCTTGTCACTGCTGGAGTCCAGCATCCAGCACTGGCTGGGCAGCAGGAATCCCATGTGTCTGCTGCCTGGAAGGCAAAGAGAATCACAGAGTTTTCCAGCAGGAAGAGCAAGATCAGTTAGGATGTGCTTGCATCTTGCAAGGGAGCAAGGCTTGGTGTCATACAGCAGGAACTGAGGTCCTAGTGATTAGCCAAGGCCACAGAGCCAGTTTGTGAATGGACCAGGTCTCTTGTCCAACCACTCTCTTATATTCAGAGTCCCTCCAGGTCTCCCATGGGTCCTCCTCAATGTTTCACTCTGACACAGAAGCCCTCTACCATCAACAGATTCATCTTCTTGCTGTTCCATGCACGCCTGGTGTGGTGAATCCTACTCACCTCTGCTAAGGCCATCACACTGGCACAGACCCACGTCTAAGCTAGATACATCTTTAAGTGGGCATTACCCCGTTCCACCTCCACAAAGCTGTCCTCCAGATTTCTGCTCTATCCCTTGTCAAGGAGAATACATATTTCTTTTTGAAAAATCACTAATTGGGTAGTTAAAACAATAACTAGAAGTATTTTAAATTTTATTCCTGCATTTCATCTCTCCACTTGATGCTTAACCCTGTGAGGACAGAGGGGATGTTTAGACACACAGACTTGCAGGGTTGAATGCATCCTTGGGAGTCCATCTGTTTCTACACATTCATTTCACAGATAATGTCATGGAGGCACGGAGGAAGGAAATGGCTTGCCCATGGTCTTTGTTTTTAAATGTAGTAAAAGTTACCTAACATAAAATGGACACTTTAACCTATTTTTCAATGTACAAGTCAGTGGCATTAAGTGCATTCACATTGTGCACCATCATCACCATCCATTTCTGGAAGTTTTTCATCTTGCAAAATTGAAACTCTATACCCATAAAACAATAACTCCCCACTGTTCCTCTTCCCAGGCCCTGGCAGCCACCATCTGACTTTCTATGTCTATGATTTTCACTACTCTGAGTATCTGATGTAAATGGAATGATACAGTATTTGTCCTTTTGTAACTGGCTTATTTCACTTACCATAATGTGAAGGGTTACCCGTGCTGTACATATAGACGACATTTTGCTTATCTATCCATTGATGGACACTTGGGTTCTTTCCACGTTTTGGCTATTGTGAATAGCCTAGGGTCTTTTAGTGATTTTTTTTTCCTCCTTAGTATAGTGCCCCTCAGAGTGTAGAAATTCATTTAAAAAAATTGGTATGATTATCATCTTAGCTAGACCCTCAATCTTATGGAGAAACGAAGATTTGAGCCTATGAAACAAAAGACTATTCTTTCTGTAATATAGTTCATCTGACGATCCTCTCCAAATGCAGTCTGTTTAATCATAACACGTAGCTAGCATGAAAGTATGATTTTTCTTTTTACACATGTATTTATCTTTTCACTTGTATTTCTATGTATATCACAGAGAGGAGGAAATGTGATTAAGAACTTCTCTCTAAAGCAAGGCTGTTCCCTAAGAACCCTTGGTGCAGGGCCATATCATGAAACCATAAGGCTTTTAAGAATCCAATGTCAAGGATTTTCTTTCACAAATTTCATTTAGCATCCCTCCTGCTGGGTCAGAGAAAGAGAACAATTCAGCAAACACACGAGAAGCACCTTTCCCTTTTCCATTTCCATAAACCCCTTCTCTATAGATGTGTGTCTTTGAAAGTCCATTATCCCTGTTCAACTCTCTCAAGGTGAATTCAAGGACAGAAGCCTCTTACTATGAGCGTGAAGTTTAGTGGACATTTTTTTTTTACTTCCTTACACAAGCCTACATTCAGCATCAAATCAATTCATTTGGTAGTTATTACTTAGTGTTAGCTCTCCAAAGTGAGTTTAAATCTCTTTTCTTAGTTAAGAGAAATGGAAAACTCTTCCTCTGCTAGTTGCTCACAATGATCTCTGTATTACCAGGAACTTATTGAGCTAAAAAACCGACTTGGCAAAGACAAATAATCGTTTTGCGCATTTCTAGAGCGCATTAAACTTTTCAAATCGTGCTTCACATACAATATTTCTTTTGGTCTGTGAAATAATTAGGTTGGGAAAATAAGGCTGAGTTAATGATTAGGCCAGTGGAATGAGGTGGAAGCTGAGGCCGGAGGGAAGCAAAGTGTTGAGGGTCACACAGCAGCGATCGCCACAGTGGCTAGTCAGAAAAAATCGTTTTCACTGTTATCTGTGAGCCCCTAGAAACGTGTGGTCATCGGAGGTGCGTCCGATCCTGTGCAGAATCCCACCCGCCCGGCCTCAGCTGGCTCTGCCTCAGCTTCCTGGCTCATGAGAGCTTTCTCCCATCCAGGCAAAATGCCTTCCTCTAGTTTCTGACACACCATGCTTTCCCCCAGCCATTTCCTTTTCTTTTCTTCACCTGGCTACTTCTACTCATTCTTTAAAAAATATTTTTAAAACGTTGGCCAGGCACAGTGACTCACTTCAGGAGGCCACGGTGGGTGGATCACCTAAGCCCAGGAATTCAAGACCAGCCATGGGCAACTTATCGAGAACCCCATCTTCATAAAAAATACAAAAATTAGCCAAGCATGCTGGCGTGTGCCTGCAGTCCCAGTTACTTGGGAGGCTGAGGTGGGAGATCATCTGAGCCTGGGAGGTTGAGGCTTGAGGCTGCAGTGAGGTGTGACTGCACCATTCCACTCCAGCCTGGGTGACAGAGTGAGACCCTGTCTCGAAAAAAATATGTATGTATATATATCTGTGATGGTTAATATTCAGTGTCAACTTGATTGGATTGTTCCAATCCTTGGAACAACTTGACTGGATGCAAAGTACTGTTCCTGGGTGTGTCTATGAGGGTGCTGCCAAAGGAGATTAACATTTGAGTCAGTGGGCTGGGAAAGGCAGGCTCACCCTCAATCTGGGTGGGCACCATTTAAGCAGCTGCCAGTGTGGCTAGAATAAAGCAGGCAGAAGATGGAAAAAATTAGAAAGACAGTTCTTCAAAGATGGTCAGGAATCATTACCATCTTCTATGCTCTGCCCTCCTATTTCCCCAACCTAGAAGCATTTTCAACCCTTTAAGCTAATTTAAAAATGTATCTCCAAATGATGTGGTGACATTGCAATTTCATGACGTGTTTTCAGTTATCATCTATTGACTTACCGATACGGATGATGATGAGTTAGCTTCTACTCTCCTCCCACCATCCACAAGCACCATCCATCCATCCTTCTAAAATAGGCACGTTGGACTTGTAGTTAGATCATGATTTGGTTTTTATAGAATTAAGATCACACAGGATTAAGATCATGTAAATGCCATTTAGAGCTAAGTCATTACTATTTTCTACAGTCACTTTTCTTTTTCTGTGGTGTCTCTTTTTGCTGGAGTATGTATGTGTGTATTTATTTAGAGACAAAGTCTCTCTCTGTCACCCAGGCTGGAGTGCTGTGGCACAAACTTGGCTCACTGCAACCTCTGCCTCCCAGGTTCAAGCCATTCTCCTGCCTCAGCCTCTGGAAGCTGGGACTACAGGCATGCACTGCCATGTCTGGCTAATTTTTTGTACTTTGGTAGAGACGGGGTTTCACCATGTTGCCCAGGCTGGTTGCAAACTCCTGAGCTCATGATCTGTCTGCCTGAGCCTCCCAAAGCGCCAGGATTACAGGTGTAAGCCACTGCACCCAGCCTATTTATCTTAAATTTGTTTCATTTTCCTTTAGTGAGCACATTTGCACGTCCTCCTTCAATCCTTAATCTGTAATGAGGAAGAAAAGCAGCGCTTGAGAGTTGGAAGCTGTTTGGGAACTCACAGCCAGGCCATGTGTTCTTCTGTTTGGTGCAAACCATTTCATAGAACTCAACATCAGACAACGTCATTCTGTGACTGTCATGGGGTAAGGCAAAGATGAAGTCACTCCACAGTCACATCTTAGCACTGACAAAAGAAAATTATCCAGAACACAAAAATGATGCAACATACCCCTGCCCAGCCTAATACACATGGCTTCTACTTTTTTTTTTAACCAACTACAGCATTTTTTCCTGCTTTCAAAATAAAAAATATTAAGATATTAAATCACAGGATTATCTGCTTCCTGACAGTATCCAATCTAGAACAAACCCCTACTTTTTTGAACTCTCCCCCAGATCACCTAATGAAAACCAAATAGGACTTTCCAGCATTCTCCTTCCAGCATCCTCTTACTGAGAGGCCTCTCTGGTTCTCCATCATGTACAATCTCCCATGGTGCGACAAATGAAGAATCCCAAATTTGTTCTACTACAGGTGGACTCCTAGTGGTCAGTGGCTGCAATGTATCTCTGGATTTGAAGTTCCATCAATATTCATCGATGCGTCCTACAGTCTTGGATGGGAACCCTCCACTCACCAATTTTATGGTGCTTATTTGAGACCCTTTGTGTCTCTAGCTGTCTGAAGCAAACACACTGCCCATGGCTAGGAGAAGTTCATGCTGAACTGAGGTTCAGTATTTTGCTGGGGTCCTTCTGCTTTAGGTGTTTTTCCTTCTCTTCTTTACCTCCTCCCTTTTCTCTCTTTCTTTCCTTCTTTCTCTCTTTTCTTTTTTCTTCCTTTTCTCTTTCTTCCTTTCTTTTTCTTTCTTCTTTCTTTCTGTTTCTCTCCCTCCCTCCCTCCCCTTTCTTTCCCTTTCCATTCCCTTTCCCTTCCCTTCCTCTCCAAGTAAGGCTGTTCCCTAAGGACCCTTGGTGCAGGGCCATATCATCAACCTATAAGGCTTTTAAGAATCCAATGTCAAGGATTTTCTTTCACAAATCTCATTTAGCATCCCTCCTGCTGAGTTAGAGAAAGAGAACAATTCGGCAAACACACTAGAAGCACCTTTCCCTTTTCCATTTCCATACACCCCTTCTCTATAGATGCGTGTCTTTGAAAGTCCATTATCCCTGTTCGACTCTCTCAAGGTGAATTCCAGGAGGGCAGAGGCCTCTTACAATGAGCATTAAGGTGTTTTGTCCTCCCTTAGGAATAAGGTAACCAGTGACTTTTTGGTTATCTGACCTGACTTTTATTGTTCTTTGGTGATACTGTTTTCCAGTCTACTGATACTTGTTCCTGTGGACTGTCTGCTTGTAAAGCGTCTTGAGTGTTCTTTCTCTCTAAAAGAGAAGATCTCCAGGGAGACAATAAGCACAAGTCAGGTAAGTCAGTTCTTGAACTGGCTCAGGAGTCTAAGGGGTTCAGAAGGTCTCCTACAATCAACAGTCTGACTTTGGTCATGATTTCACACCCTTAGAAGAACTTTTTCATCAACTTGTCTTTCTGTTCTTGAGAACTGCTTGGTTTAGATTAGCCTTCTTGAAATCAGAAGGGATTGTCTGACCCTGGATTGGGCTTTGGCCAAGCTCTGATGAAAGTAGCTGCACTGTCATTTGGGAGGATCTAGTGTGGTGCTCACAGTGTCTAAACTACATGGTTCTATGAAACAAACACCTTCTTCCCATATCACCTTAACTTACATGCTTGTGTCTCTAACTGGCACAATTTCACAGGATAATGTGTGTGTGTGTGTGTTTTTTTTTGAGACAGAGTCTTGCTCAGCTGACCAGGCTGGAGTGCAGTGGCATGATCTTGGCTCACTGCAACCTCCACCCCCTGGGTTTAAGCAATTCTCATGCCTTAGCCTCCCAAGTAGCTGGGACTACAGATGTGTGTCATCATGCCTGGCTAATTTTTTGTATTTTAGTAGAGTTGGGGTTTCACCATGTTGCCCAGGCTGGTCTCTAACTCCTGACCTCAGGAAATCTGCCTGCCTCGGCCTCCCAAAGTGCTAGGATTACAGATGTGAGCTACCATGCCTGGCCAATTTCACAGGATAATTTTGAACTGCAGTGGCTATTTTGGGGACCTTTTTGACATGAACCAGATTATTCATTTGAGTGGTGCCTGAGAACAAAAACTAGAGAAAGCCTCATGAAGAGATTATCTGTCTTGGAATCTAAAAAGAGACAGTGTTCAGCTCATTTGTAAATGCTGCTTTCTACATTTCTGTTCTTTGAGGATTAATAAAGCCTGCCTTTTAAACATGTTGCTTGATAAAAATTTCAAGTCCCAAGTAATTGTTTACACCAACTGTAAGAGTTACCTTTGCATGTATGTATGTCACAATGGGCTTTCCCGAATCTAAATGTTCAGTGCCTCTTCTTGCAGAGGGAAGAAGAGGCTTTTAACAGCGATAATTTCTTAAGTGTTTGAAGCTGGCTCCCTTTCACTGCCTTTTTTCTATTCCTTTCCTCCTTTCTCCTCTCTTGGGAAGCTTTAAAAATTAATTGATTAAAAT